TGACTTGATGCTTGATATCCATAGCCCTTCATAAACCTAGCTCCCCCAAACTTAAGTCTTTCATATTGCCAAACCATAAGCTAGCCTACATTTCTATTGCTATATTAGATTCAACAGATAATTTGGGACTTTGAATTGGGTTCTTGCATTTGGCTTTTTATTTTCAATGCATGCCTTTTACCTCTTCTTACTTTTTTCACTCCATAGCACAATTTTACTGCTATGCATCTCATATTGAGGAATTTTGGACACTTTGGTCCTTTTCAAACATTCTGGTGTACTTTGACACTCTTTTGTATGCACAAGACATGGAACTATGTTCATTTGTTTGTCTTTTGGTCTTAATGCATATGTTTCATGATCTCTATACTGTTTGGTACTTTTAGGACCCTCCCCCAAACTTAAGGGAAACAATGTCCTCATTGTGAGTGTATGAAGGCTACAAATTGGCCAAAATGAAATGAAGGCCCAAGTTGAATCAAGTGAAAGCTTTGGAAATGGTTGGCTAGTTCTAGAGGCTCAATTTAAGACAAAAAGTTGGTTAAGCTTTGGATTATTGTGACTATGGCATCAATTCAAGCTTTTGTACAACAAATTCATCTTTTATTCTATTTTTGGTGCATATAAGGCTAAAGGAAGATATGCTATTTAAAATCAGTGCCCAAAATCCTAAAATGAAACAGAACAGCAAAGATGATCAATACAAGTGTAATTGACTATCTTTAAAATGAAAGAAGACTCAAACTGAAAACAATTGAAGCAGAAAGACAAAGATGAGACGTCACAAGTGTGACTTGGTCATCTTGTGCAAATAAAAGGACTCAAAGACTCAACTGAAGGATTTAAACACAACCAACAATCCAACTCTAAGTCAAATTGACCATAGGGTGAAGATGTGGTACCTGGAATGAGTTTTAAATCAAAACAGTCAACCAGAGGACTGCATTTCCAAACAACATGGTAACCTRAAACTAAACAATGGGATTGCCATTGTTTTACCATGAGATAAACCAATTAGAACCAAACAATGGGATTGCCATTGTTCTCTTATGACTTAGCTTGAACTGGTTTTAGCAATAACTAGGGAGGTAAACAGATGAGAACATCAACCATGGTCCTCCCTCAAAGCAGTCATACCAACTGTATACAAAACAACCAAACAGAAGTAAAACAACAAAGATATAGCATGAGCATGAGTATATGATATCCTAAAAACAGCAAATGTCCTCAATTGAGGATAAAAACAGCAAAATAGAATAGAAGCTGCATAAAACAGCAAATGGAAAACAGCAAAAATTAAAGATTAAACTAAAAGATTCTGTTTTT